GTCAGGCATTGGACATAGTGCTGGCAGCCAAAGGAGGGACCTGTGCTCTCATTGGAAAATAATGTTGTGTGTTCATACCTGACGACACCAATGAGGTAATAGATCGCGCTAGTCACTTAGAACAAATTGCATATCTTCCCCATGAAGAGCCGAGTTCTTTATGGAAGTGGCTAAGTAACCTATTCAATTTCTCTGGCATAGGAAACTGGTTGTTTCAGGGAGCCCTGACTATCCTGTGTGGAATCCTAATGATTTTTGTATGCTTTCAGTTAATCTCCTGTTGTATCCAGAATTGTGTAAGGTATGCCACCCAGGTGACTGCCCCAAAACAGAGTGCTAATATGATGGTGTTAAATATCATTGATGAACGAAGAGATAAAGAACTATTAATATGTGGAACCCAGTAATTGTTGGTCTTTGCGTAAGCTTGACCAAAAGGAGGGATTGTGAAAGTGAAATGAATTATATTAAAGAAATAGAATGAATTAAAGAATGCTGTATGTACCTTTAAGTAGAAATGAGAAATGCTGCAAGCCAGGGGGGCAGGAAAGCAGACATTAACTGCTTAACTTGCCACTTAAGGGCAATTGGTGAAGCACTAGTCTTAGTGCTTAGTGTTAAAAGAGTTAACAAGGAAGCAGGATATGCATATTGTGCTCCATGCATATTTTACAATTTTGCTCTCTCTGTCCCTTTGTTTAGTTCACACCCTTTTATCTGTTTGAATCTTGCATGGAGGCTCACATTATCTGAATGTATTAGCAGAGCGCTGTGCTAATAAAACAGAGTGGTCTGACAAACTATGAGTCCTGAGTCTAACTTTGACAAGTGGAACCAGCTGGGCTGGTGACTGGGGGGAGATATAAGCCCAGGGAAAGGCTTAGACAGGAGGTTAGCCAGGGGAGAGGAGAGGGGGACTGCAGTTCTGTTTCTACCGGCTGCAGGAAGCCTCAAGGGCGAGAAGACCCAGGGAAGCGTCAGTGTGGGGATCGGTGTTGGGCAAATTGGGATTGCACTAAGCACTGTAAATAAAGAGACACGGGTGAAACTCCTGAAAGAGGTGTTGGAACCCTTTTCTTGACAAGCCTAAGCACAGAGCACAGGGACGAGAGGGAGGGAACCTGTGCAGACCCTGTGACACATGGATAGATTCATTGGAGTCTGTCATGCCCCAATGATTTGAGAATAGTTGTTAAGTGAAATAGGGTGTGATTGTAAATGTATGTTTGAATGAGTAATACAAGGTTGAAGTGCCAGCCTAATAAATAATAACTACCCAGGAACATTTGGCCGAAGAATGCGCAGGATGGAGATAGCTGGATGACCCCGTAGGGCAAACTGGAATCCACCCCCAACTACGCCAAGGACGGAGGGGCCGAAAAACTGAAGAACAAGATAACAACAAGCTGTCACTGCTGTGCCATCTGCATGATGGACTATCATTTCAAACCTGAGAACAGTGATTGATGATCACTTCAAACGTAAGAGCAGCATGACAAAGCAAACCTTATAGATTTGAATGAGGATGAATTCCTATAAAGACAGACTCTGAAGACTGAGAACTTTGAGTCTGGTTCTGCAACCACCCTCCAGGAGCATCGGCTGCGCCTCTGACAAGACTTGGCTCCATCCTCGTGTCCAAACCACCTGGCTAATGGCTTGGCACAAGCAACTCTAAGGCTGGTAACTATGATAACAACCTTGCAGAACCTGTGTGTGTATGAATGAATGTGTGAATGAATGTGAAACTGAATGGCATGTTATAGCTATAAACTGACTGCTTACTATTATTCTTTCTGTATTCACAATAAATGTGGCATTTTGCTGTATCCCCTTTAATAAAATCCTGCTAGTTTTTATGTTATTGGTATAATAGACCAGGGGCAGAGTGGGGGATTGAGCACCCCCTGGCTAGAGGTGAAGTCTGCACCTATGCCTGTATGTACTAGGCTGAGAACTCTCACACCTTCCTTTTTGGCCCCTGTATCCCTCTGAAAGGGATGTTCCATGTCTGTTATGGTCAGCATATTGTTATTCATGGTCTCTGAATTCAAACCCAGAGCAGCAGGAGGCAAGACTCAGTACTACACTGACACAGATGCCAGGGAAGGAAAAAGAACAAATATGTTAACAATGCACAGAATGACCAGACACAGTGGACAGCACCTCACAGGTGACATTCTGTTCACTTGCGGGATTTCTCTGAAAGCCACAAGGGCGAGACATTAACTCATCAGCTGAAATGGAAGCTTAGGGCTTGTCTACACATGAATCTAACCCAGCAATCCATGATCATGGAGAAACACACACAAGTCCATGTTCACCAAGGCCGTATAGGAATCTGCCTCCAAAGGGACCTCCCAGAGCCAGTCCCTGCCAATTTATAACAACAGGCACCTTACCAGATACTCCTGGCTTTTTCTCTCTCCAGTCATTTTAAATTCCAGAAGCTTTTCTCTCTCTTCCCGCCGAGTCTTCAAATGGGCCTGGATTTGTTCCTGAAGAACCATAAAGGATTTCAGAGGTTTCATTTAGATGGTTGAGAGGGGTACGGAGCAGATTGAAGTTAGATCCTCTTCACGGAACAGTTTCAGAGCCTCCTGGTGTTCCCCACACACCCTCTTCCCTCCTGCCCCCTGTGCAGCCTCTAAACTCAGCTGTTTCTATGGGGGCAAGACTCCAGTCCCTGAGCACCCCCAACCTCCCACCCACCCGCTAAGTGGGCAGAATGTGGCCCCAGTGCCCCATGGCCCCAAAGCACAGGGATGGCGCACGGCCCCAGCCTAAAGCTCAGGCAGCCCCAGGAGACTGAGGATTCGGGAGACGCCACGGAAGCAGGGGTGGCTCTAGGCACCAGCAAAGCAAGCACCTGCTTGGGGCAGCCCATTTGCAGGGGCAGCAGCGGGCAGGGATCCAGCCTGGGAGCTGAGAACCAACCTGGGGCCCTGGGAGCTGTAGTTCCTTGGTTAGCTCCCTGCCTATAGAGCCAGCCCTGGAGCAGGGAAAGAACTACATTTCCCAGCATTCCCTTGGCCACTGTTAACAGGAAAGGGAGGGGGAGGGAGTATGGTAGCTGAAACCTCATGCTGCAGCTTGTTGTGAAGGGAGAGCTCATTGCTAGAGCCGGGTGACACTGTGAATGGGGAACAAGTATGCTAAAGGAGTAGAAGGCTTTGGCCCAGATATTCCCTTCAGAAGACTTCCCCAGACTGGATTAGGGATACTGGTGTGACCTCACCTTGCAGCCCCCAAAGAAGGAATTGGGTGGACTAAATGGACAGTGCCCCTCTCTATCTGAAACCTAGCAAGGGAGGTATGTGGATCCTACTAGAATTTAAAATGAAAACTAAGGGAGGGGAGGCTCTGCTAGAGGACCTGGGCAGCCTTAGATACAGTATCAGGCACTTAGGAGGATTTCCACTTCTGAGCCATGGAAGTAGAAATTGACTTTTCCTTTCCAGATTTAGCTAATATTCAGAAAGGGAATCTAGCACCTGCCTTCCAGATTTGAACACCTCAAAATTCAGGAGTGCTCAAGCTCAATTTGGGCAGCTGTTACTTCATTTCTCCCAGATCAAATATACTGATCCACTGTAATTTGCT